CAATTTGTAGTCCCACCAGCAATGTATGAGTGTACCTTTTTTCCCACATACTTGCCAACACTTATTGTTGTTTGTATTTTTTTTTTAATATTTATTTTTTAGTTATCGGCGGACACAACATCTTTGTTTGTATGTGGTGCTGAGAATCGAACCCGGGCCGCACGCATGCCAGGCGAGCTCGCTACCGCTTGAGCTACATCCCCAGCCCCTTGTTTGTATTCTTAATAGGTGCCATTCTGACTGGTGTGAGATGAAATCTTAGAGTAGTTTTGATTTGCATTTCTCTAATTACTAGAGATATTGAACATTGTCTTATATATTTGTTGATTGATTGTATATCATCTTCTGAGAGGAGTCTGTTCAGGTCCTTGGCCCATTTATTTATTGGGTTTTTTTTTTGATGTTAGGTTTTTTGAGTTATTTATATATCCTAGAGATTAGTGCTTTATCTGATGTGTGTGGTAAAAATTTGCCCCCAAAATGTAGGCTCTCTGTTCACCTCTTGTTACTTTTATTCTTGGTAAATGCCATCCTAACTGGAATCTCAGTGTAGTTTTAATTTGCATTGTGATTTTTGACATTAACCAAAAGATGAACTAGTAACTAGTTGCAAGTTTTTAACTAAAATTTAAATCACTGTCTAGTACTTCCTTAAGATCTCAAAAAGATGAACCAAAACATGGTATAGGATAGGAATAAACAGAAGTTACTCAGGAATATTTGTTGTCATTTACTATCTAACTGTGTTTTTCAACCTAAGCTCAAGCAAGAAATGAAGAGCAATGTCCAAAGGAGCTCTAAGGGTCACAAAATTTGGAGGGTATTGAATATATTTCCTGACTTAGAAGTAAATTTCACTCAGTAGCAACAAATTTGAAGAATCTGTGGATATCCAAAAAGCAACTGGTTCCTGTAAGACAAGGCTTGTTTTGAGTCATAAAGTCTGCTTTGAAATGAACCTTGCTACATTCTAGCAGATAAGACTACTGCTGTATGACTAGAGTTTTCATTATCTACTGTTCTTTGTGTCTTTGGTTACAGGACTAAATCAAATTTTAAAATTTTGTTAATTTTGAAATTTAGCAAAATAGGGGAAATACATGATTTAATGAATCATTACAAATTAACATATACGTGACTACCACCTAAGTCAAGAAATCAGTATCATTGGCCCTCAGATGTCTTCTCTATGTTATTCCCAGTTCAGTAAGCCCCATTTTATGTGATCCTTAATCTTTAGATGTAATCCTTACATCAACTTTATGGTAGTCATATTCAAGTACTTCTTTATAGTATTATTACCTTTGTGTACATGTATAAGGAATATATTTTGTTTTTGAATATTATGTAAGTAGAATCATATATAATGTATTATATTTGTGGGAGTCATTGATGACATGTAGAGCTATAGTTTGGTCATTCTCATTTCCATATAGTATTCTATTACATGGAAATATAACAATTTATTGATCTATTCCATTATTTATAGACATTTGGATCACTTTCAGTGTGGGGCAATTAATATTGTAGTTGTGAGTATTCTTGAACCCATGTTCTATAAAATGTCACTGGAATGTACCTTAGTAATATAATTGCTGGGGCATATGATATGCATGCATTCAGTTTAATAGTTACAATGTCAAGCAGTGTTCTGAAACACTTTACCGCCTTATTTTCCCACCACTTAGTTGTGTATGAGAATTCCATTTGAATCACATTTTATCCCCCACTTTTATATCTCATTGTTGTTTTAATTTTCATTTCCCTGATAATTAATGAGGTTGGGTATTTTAAAATGTTTATTAGTCATTTCGACATCATTTCTTATGAAGTATTTGTTCATGTCTTTTGCTGATTTTTCAGTTGAGTTGTATTTCATTGTGGAAGTTCTTTATAGATGCTGGATATGAGTCACTAGAAAATTATTTGTATTTGAAACTGTATTTTAGTATTTTGTTTTGCCTTTTTACTCTCTTCATGGCATATCATGATAAAGAAACTATTTCTAAATTTATTTTTTTCCACATTTTTTATTGGTGCATATGGTTTTACGTAATGGTGGGATTTCTTGTTACATATTTATACATGTACACGATATAGCAACATAAATTGGCCAGTGTCATTCTCCAATATTTATCCTTTCCCTCCCTTCTTACTTCCCCCTAGTACCTTTCTTATATTCTACTGACATCCTTAGGATTTTTATGAGATTCCTCCTCATTATTCTTTTCCTTTCTCCTTTCTAGCTTCCATATATGAGAACATACAAATATTGACCTTCTGAGTTTGGCTCTTTGCTTAACATAACCTTCCCAAGTTTTATCCATTTTCCTCCAAATGACATAATTTTATTTTTCTTTATGATTTAATAAAATTCCAATGAGCATATGAACTACATTTTTTTTTAATTGATTGACATCTAGGCTGGTTCCAAAGTTTGGCTCTTGTGTATTGTCCTGCTATAAACATAAGTATACATATATCACCATAGAATGCTGACTTCAATTCTTTAGGATAAATACTGAGGAATGTCATAGCTGGTCATAAGGTGATTCCATTCTTAGTCTTTTGAGGAAACTCCATAGTGATTTCCATAGTGGTTGTACTAATTTACAATCTCACCAACAGTGTAAWGTGCCTTTTTCTCCACATCCTCTCCAACATTTACTATTGTTTGTATTCTTGATGACTGCCATTCTGACTGGTGTGAGATGAAATCTCAGTATAGTTTTGATTTGCATTTCTCTTATTGCTAATAATGTTAAACATATTTTTCATAGATTTGTTGGCTGTTTGTATTTCTTCTTTCGAGAAGTATCTGTTTAGTTCATTTGCCCATTTATTGAATTATTTGATTTTTTTGGTATTAATTTTTAAAAAATTCTTTGTGTATTATAGATACTAATTCTCTGTTAGAAGAGTAGCTAAAAAGATTTTTCTCCCATTCTGTAGGTTCTTTGTTCTTTGTTCACATTATGACATTCATAATTGTTTCCTTGCTGTGCAGAAGCTTTTTAATTTGATGCCACCCCATATATTAACTGTAGGCATTATTCCCTGAGATTTTGCCACGATAGCTTTGTAGTATAATTGTAAGTCAGGCATTGTCATGCCTCCAGCTTTTTTTTTGGCTTAGAATTGCTTTGATTTGGCTATTTGGGTCTTTTATTGAACTCAGAGGTACTCTACCACTGAGCCACATCTCAGCCCTATTTTGTATTTTATTTAGAGACAGGGTCTCACTGAGTTGCTTAGTGCCTCGCCCATTGCTGAGGCTGGCTTTGAACTCACAATTCTCCTGTTTTAGCCTCCTGAACCACTGGGTTTACAGGCGTGCGCCACCCTGCCCAGCCTGTTCAATTTCTTTCTTCAGTATTCTATAGTTTTCATTGTAGAGGTCTTTCACCTCCTTGGTTAGATTTATTCCTAGGTATTATATTTAGTTAATTTATTCTTTAATTTCTTTCTGAGCAGATTCATTGCTGGTATGTAGGAAAGCTACTGACTTTTGTATGCTGATTTTGTAATCTGCTACTTTGCTGAACTTGTTTATTAGCTCTAGCATTCTTTTGGTGGAGCTTTTTGGATCTTCTAAGTATAGGATTATATCACCTGCAAACAGTTGTAGTTTGATTTCTCCCTTTCCTATTTTTATTGCTTTTATTTCCTTCCCTTGCCTAATTGCTCTTGATAGAATTTCTAGTGCTATACTAGATATGAGTGGTGAGGATGGACATCCTTGTCTTGTTCCAGATTTTAAAAGAAATGCTTTCATTTTGTTTCCCATTGACTATGATGTTGACTTTTGGCTTTTGTAAATAACCTTTATATTGAGGTCAGTTTCTTCTATCCCTAGTTTCTTCAGTGTTTTTATCAGGAATCAGTGCCAAATTTAATTAAAGTCTTCTTTGTATCTACTGAGATGCCTATGAGATTTTTGTCAATTCTATTTTTATGATAAATCAAATTTATTGATTTCCATATGTTAAACTATCCTTGCGTCTCTGGGATAAAACCAACTTTGTCATAATATAAGATATTCTTAATATGTTGTTAAATAATATTTGCAATTTTTTATTATGAATTTTTGAATTGAAGTTTATCCGGGGTATTGGTCTATGGTTTTCTTTCCTTGATGTGTCCTTAGGTGGTTTTGGTATAAGTGTGATTCTGGCTTCATAGAGTGAATCTGGAAGTGTTCTATTCCTTTCAATTACATGGAATAACCTGAGGAGCACTGGCATTAAAGGTCCGCTAGAATTCAGCTGAGAATTAATCTGTTCCATGGATTTTGGGGATTGGCTTATTTCACTGAGCAAGGTGTATTTCAACATTATCAGGATCCAGGAAAATAATCTGTTATTTCAGTCTTTTGAAATTTGTTGAAATGTGCATTATGTTACAACAGATAATCAATTTTTATGTTCTATATGCTTAAATAGAATGTGTTCTGCTATTTTCTCTGCAGTGTTCTGTTGCTGTAACTTGGATTAGGATTCTTAATCATGCTATTCAGTTCTTTATCTTTACTAATTTTTTGGTATGCTGCTTTTTTTCAGTTACTCAGGGGAGTATTAAAGTATCTCCCAGTAGTATGTAGTTGTTTGTTTCTATAAGTTTTAGTTTAGGTGTTTTTATTTTTTTTGAGATGAGACTATTAGGTGTGTTATCTAGTAATATAGTAATGTAGGTTTTATATCTTCCAGGTAGGATAATCCTTTTTTCATTATAAAATTTCCCTTTTCTTTTGTGACTAATGGTGCTTCTTGACTTAAAGTCAGCATTATCCATTATTAGTATACCTTTGCTTTAATCRGTGTTTGCATAGTTTAGCTTTTTCTATTCCTTGAATCTCAGCTTGAATGTCTATATTTCATGCATATCTTTATAATATTTGTTTTTAATGCATACCTCTTGTAAGCACCATATAGTAGGGTTTTGATTTCTTTTTTAGGTATGATGGTTTTTGTCTACTAATTATAGTATTTAGTATATTTACATACAATAAACAAACCAAAAACCTTAACCCTCAAAAGACAAAGCATGGAAAAATAACTACATTCAAAAAATGCTAAAAATGGGGGGGGGAATGAATAAATATGTATATATGTCCGCAAACCAATCAGCACAGCAAGAAACACACACATACACATGCACACTTAAACCTTACCCAATCCAAACCAAACCAAACCAAACCAAAAAGATCCTTGGACTGGGGGGGGGGTCGAGATAGATAGATAGATAGATAGATAGAGATAGGTAGATAGAGAGAGAGATTTAAATAAAGTGCTGGAGCCGTACAGACTTTCCTAATTGTCACATACCTTGTAAGAGGAGGAAACACCTTCTAACTCTAGATGGATTGGAGGTGAGCAGCCTTTGGAATGAAAAAGGGTGGCCAGATGTGAATGGGCTTGTAGTCAAGCTAGAAGTTGTTTTTAGTAGACAGTGTGGCAGGCCCAAAGTTTTGTAATAGCAGGTTTTACCATGCAGATGGTATCTTAAGAATATTTATCTGGTGGCATTACAGAAGAGAGGGGAAGTGAGGAAGGCAAATTAGGAGCCCCTTGCTGTGGTCTGGGCGGGTGGGGACAGTATGACCTTTGTGTCTTTAAGGGCATCCCAGGCTGAAAGGGAGAGAGGAACAATGGAGTAGATTGACTTGAGTTTGCTTTCTTCCTACACTTTTGGAATTTGAGATGAATTGCTGAAGGGATTCTCTTACTGAATTTTCCTCCAAGGAGTCCCCATTCTAGGAGTCAGAAAATTGAAAGACAAAGAAAAGAGAAAATAAATGAAGAAAACTGGCCCTCAGCATGGAGGAAGAAAGAGCGGGGCTGTGCCAGGCTGTCCAGATCTTTCCTGAATGTGTGTCACTTGCTCAGAGACCAAGCAAAAGAGCAAGCCAGACAATCCTGTGAAACCAAGGAGGTTCTTGGAAGTAGCACTCAAGCCTGAGCCCCAGCTGTGAAGCAGAAATCTATATTTACTGGCGCTGGCCTCCCTATTCCTTATGAGGACACAAAATACTTTTTAAAATCAGAAAAAAAGTTAAAAAATAATTATATTTAAAAAGTTACTCTTCTCTATATTACCACAGTTCATAGCAGGAGACTCTTAAGAAGTGACTTTGTAGCCATGGGGCAGATTTCAATGATTTTTTTTTCTTTTTTACAAATAATGAAGCTGTAGTTTGCCTTTATTCACCCTGGTTTACCTATTCTGTGCTCATTTTCTTCTCTTGGTGGTGTCCCTGCCCCCTGCTACTCCTGGTCTTTCTTCTTTGCAAGTCTGTTTTAAGAAATGAAACCTGAAAATCAGTTACTCTAAGAGGAAAATTACAGATAGTATTCAAAATGTATACCAGGTATATTTGCATAATATTTCCATCTTTAACAAATATTTATTGAATGTGTACTATATACCAGAAATTATTCCAAGTTCTGGGGATCCCACAAGGAAAAAGAATTCCTGATTCCTCCTCCTATGGAAGTTTATATTCTTGCTGGAGAAACAGAGAAGACAAGTATACCACCAGAAAATGCCAAATAATGAGAAGTGCTGTGAACCCAATACAATAATGTGATGGGGAGCAAATGGGTGGCGGAGGGCCAGAGTTATGGCTAGTTAGGAAAACCTCTCTGAAGAAATGTCCTCTGAGCTGATACTAGTCAGTTTTGCCATGGCAAAATCCAGCGGTCTCTGGCCAAGAAGTGTCAGAGCCGCTAAAGCTTTGGGGCTACCACATTTGGGACTACCACATTGTCTACTAAAAGAGAAAAGTAAAGGTGAGGGCCTTGGGGTAGGATCAAGCTTGGCATGTTCCTGAACAGGAGGCAGTAACCTCCCTGAAGGTGGGCAGTGGGGCCTTAATGACAAATGAGGCTGCAAACAGGCAGCCACCAACCAGGTGCTGCAGGGCCTCAAAGATCAAGGTGACACGTTTGATTTAACATGTGCCTTTGGAGGCTGCTAAGCAAAAGAAACATTGATATGATCTAATTTGCATGTTTAAGTGATCACTCTGGTGTCCCTGTAAGAAATGGTGAGGGTGGAAGCAGGGAACCATTTGGGACTGTTGGCATAGTCCAAGCAAGAGACAGAGGTGACTTGGGCTGGGTAATGGTGGGAATTGGATATGGTGTGGAAGCAGGTTCAAAGGTGTGAGGAAGCTGCTAGACGGCTCAGGGCGTCCATCCTTTACTCTTCATTTTCAGCTGAAGTGGATGTTTGTAAGGCATATAAACTAATTTATGTGTTGACAATCAAAATAGTGGAAAAGATTTAGTTAGCATTCTATTTATTGGACTTTGCCTTTAAAGAAGAAATTCGGTATTTATAGAATAATATATTACCTTTGGAGCTCTGTGGTTATTGTTAAAACTTAAAATCTCTTTTAAAGAATTATAACATTATTTCAACAGTTTATAATGTTCAAATCCTCTCAAACCAATTATCTAGATATTGTATACTTTCACCAGAATTTTTAATTTTTTATTTTTATTTGTTCTAAGTAGTTATACATGAAAGTAGAATGCATTTTAACACATCATACATATATGGAGTATTATAATTTCTCATTCTGTAGAATCATACCAGTTGTGTACTCATATATGTACATAAGGTAATAATGTCTGATTCATTCTACCATTCTTTTTACCCCCATCTCCCCTCACCCTTCACTCCCATCTGCCTAATTCAAAGTACCTCTATTCTTCCCAAGAACCACCCCCCCCATTGTGAATTAGAATCTACATATCAAGAGAAAACTTTCAGTCTTTGGTTTTGAGGGATTCACAGAGTTTTTGATTGATCAGAATATTGTTCTCCATCTAAACTAGTTAATTATGTTAACTGATTATCTACAGTGGTAGAAATACCTAAAACTTGTTTCTTTGTTCCTTTCTGTTCTTTTCCCCCAAATTTCCTACAAAACATGAATTACCTTTTAAAATCATAAGTTTTCTAAAAAAGTTCATTATATTTAGAAAGTTGCTACTTTCTATGTTAGTATGGCTTGTGGTGAGAAACTATAACAAATGGCACAGCTATGTGGGACAATTATTAATGTTGCTTTTTTTTTTTAATAGATTTACCAGAAGCTGCCAGGATGTGTACAGGTGCTTATGGATGCCCTGAGAAAAGACAGGATAGTCTTCCCCAGTGATGAAAAGTAAGCTCTGATGAGAAGCTCCACTGTTGCTCCATCTGTAGGGTTCCAGGTTAACTAATATGTAACTTATGGTGATGACAGATCTAAATCCTGTCCTTATTTTCTTAGAATATTGTTCTAGCATTCTTAGATGGACACTAGGCTTTGGGCTAGAGTTTCTATGAATTTTCAATATTTGCTATTTCCCTCTTGTCTAATCCAGTGTCTTCACCAGTACAGTTTTCCCTATGAACTCAGACTTGTATATTTAGGACCTATAAGACCTTTTAAAGGTCCTCTAGTCTAACATTTCTTAAGGGGTCTCTGACTTCTAGGTCTCATTCCCCATGTAACCCAAACCCACTTGATATCCATCCTCCTAACCCAACAGCAGATCCAGTGAATTTATGAAATTTGAGAATACTTCTAATCCGTGGTGGTCAATTTTGTTTGTATTTTAACACACCTAAGGAACTCTATCATGCTCAGAGGTGGCGCGAAGTCACCATGGCAGGGGTGGATGGGTATCAGAATTTGGGAAGGACTGAGAAGCACTGTTTGAGAAAGTCACTCGAGTGGGCATCAAGGCACTGTTTGTGCTGTAGCCTTTTTGGATAACCAAATTAAGAGACTGACCAGGAAGCCAGTCAAAAGCTTGTCAACTGCATGTCCATCCTCTACTATTATGGGAAAGGTAAATTAATTGTCCCAAAGAGGTCTCTGGATCTGTGATAGTTTTTATTATTTTGGGGTTTTGAGTTATTTTCTTTTATATTCTTTTAATTAAAATATTCAGATAATACAAAATAAGGTGGAATAAGGAAAAATACAAGGTCTTCTAACATTGTGCAAATTCAGCATCTCAGTGTATTTCTTCAGTATTTCCTAAAGTCAGATAGAAGTAAGTTAAATTAATGAAATATTCAAATTGTTTAAAAGGACATTTTCCTGGAAAAAAAGTTACCCTATGCAATTTTTTAATACATGAAGCTGTTATTCTTTGGAAGGAAGGAAGATTTCTTGTAAATGAAGTTTTAGGTGAACTTTATGTTTTGCTAAAACTTTACCTGAGAAAAGGAGAGATCTTCTTCTTCCTTGTATGTCTTCAAAAAAATATTAGAGTAGTACCTAATATGTGCCAACCATTGTTCTAGACACCAGTGATCTTATAGTTCTTCAGGTTATTTGGGAAGAGATTGAATAATGATAGTTTATACATTATCATGATTATTATTTTTATCATGAAATTAGTTCTTTTTATATGTGAGAAAGGAAAAAGGCATTAACTTTGAAAAAAAAAAGGAGAGATCTCAATGTACAGCTCTTGAACTGAATGCTTTTCTCCCACTTGTCTCAGTGTTAAATTCCTGTCTTCTCCCCTGCTCATCTTACATGGAGAGGATGACAGGACTGTGCCTTTGGAGTGTGGAAAAAAGGTAAATGATAAGCTTAGAGCCCACTGAAACTCACTATATGCATTTCTTTTTCTTTTTTTCAGCCAGCTGAACTTTGGTTAGTTTTAAGGAAGATCTCCAACAGTATAGGGGATTCTGCACCCTTAAACAGCCACAATGCCTGGGGTTTCCACAACAGATTTCAGTGCCTTTGGCTACTTAGCTCAAAGGCATGTTTGGGGGCAGAGTTGGGCCCCTCATGTGGGGTCTGTGGTTTCTAAGTGGAGAGAAGATTCCAGGCTGTGTGGGAAGCTCCATGTTTGTGTTAGTCAGCTTTTTTGTTGCTCTAATCAAAATATCTGAGAAGAACAATTTAGAGGAGGAAGAGTTTATTCTGGCTCACTGTTTTAGAGGTCTCAGTCCATGGTGAAACACTATGGTGAAAGGGCATGGTGGAGGGAAGCTCCTCAGCTCCTGGCAGCCAGGAAGGAGAGAGAAGGATCAAGGAGCCAGGGACTGGAGATCTAATCCCCCAGAGCATGCCTCCAGCGACTGCCTGCCTTTAGCCACACCTACCCACCTGCAGTTACCACCTAGGATGGTAGTGTTTTCAAATAATTAAATGGATTATTACAGTTCTCATAGTCTGATCATTTCTCCTCCAAATATTCCTATGGTCTAACATAAGCTCTGGGTGGACATTTCATAGCCAAACCACAAAATGTTGCTTCTACTGTAGTGGCTCTAAAATTAGGGATGCAGTTTTTCCCTTTAAACTAACCTCTCCGGGAGTAGGTCCATAACATACCCTGTTCCTCTGCAGTGAGGTACAGGCAGAGGAGGATGAGGTTTGATCAGTGTCCTCTATTGGCTGTGCAGCCTTCTTTTCCTTAGCTGTAGAGGCAGCTAGCTGGGCACATGGAGAGGCCTCATGTCTCTGAACCAATGAGATAAACTCCCCAAGTTGGTTGTTTCTGTACCTTTTTAGGAAAATCATATAGGGAGCCTATGGCTTTGAACTGTTGGCCTTTGAGTCCCTTTTTTTTCTTTTTCTTTCAGCTCTATGAAATTGCACTTGATGCCTACAGGCACAAAGAGAGGGTCAAGATGGTTATCTTTCCTCCTGGTTTCCATCACAATTTCCTTTATAAAAGTCCCATACTATTAAAAACCGTGAGGTAAGAACTGCTTTTTTGAATACATCTATTTTCCTGTAAAAGCAATTAGGACTGCTCTGGCTTACCTGGATCTAAGGAAGGAAGGTGTGGGCTGATCTAGGTTCTTTTTCTGCAGAGATTTCCTGAGTGAGCAGTGGGCATGAGGTCATGCGAGCAGTATCGATCTTCACTGAAGACTTGGTCCAAATACTACCTATAAGGTATATTTTCCTTATGCAACATTCTACTGGGATGCTTGAATGAGCTGAAACCACTGACACTTCCTCAAGACACGTGTCATCTAAACAAGGAGAATGTATGGGTGGCATGGAATGTTCTCATTTAGCTCATCATAGTCTACTTTGAAACATGCCGAAACCTCATCACTGTGGAGAATCAGAATTTGGTAAAATTTGGATCTCATCTAAAAATGTATAGTCATCAGACTGGGGACATTTGCTATGGTGGGAACATCTGCACCTGCCCCCCAATTCATATGTCGAAGGTTATGATGTTGGGGGAGGTGACTGGATCATGAGAGTTCAGTCATGAACAGGGTTAGTGTCCTTATGAAATAGGCCCAAAGAGCTCTGTACAGAAAGTGGTCCCCACTAGACACTGAATCTGCTAGCCCCTTGATTTTGGACTTCTAATTGCCAGAACTATGAGAAATAAATTTCTATTGTTTATAAGTTATTCCGTTTATGACATTTTGTTACAGCAGCCTGAATAGACTAAGACATAGTCTTTGGTTTGGACTTAGCAGTATTAAATAAAGGTGCTTCGGGCTGGGGCTGTAGCTCAGTGGTAGAGCACCTGCCTTGCATGTGTGAGGCACTGGGTTTGATCCTCAGTATCCCATAAAAATACATAAATAAAGATATTAAAAAAAACGGTGCTTCACTGTAGTTAAAGAATTTGTTTTTGTTTAATTCATTTAAATAGCAGTATCAAGTTCTAATTCTAAGCACTTTTCCAACTTTCTGATTAGTTTTGGGTTAAGTCCTTGCAGGCTACCAATCTGCTATAAAGGAATAAGTTTTGGCACTCCTGGAGTCTTCAGAAATTGACACTTTATTTTCAGTCCTAAATACAACCATACATGTTCCCTTTCCATTCCCAGAGATACTTAACTATTAGCTAATAAATCAATGAATGCTGTGAAAATGTTCAAATTCAATAAGAAGCTCTTTTTTTTTTTTAAGAGACATGTTATGATTCAATTTCCATTGGCTTTGTCCACCCCATTCCTAGATTCATTGGACAGGGAGATCTTTAGATCAGAAGGCTCCATGTTCCAGATGTCCCTGGCATATTCCTTAATTGTCCGGTCACTGGAGAATTTCCCAGAGGCAGCTATGTTTTTGAGTACCATCATGTTCCAGGCTTTCTGATTCTGTGAACAAAATATGCGGGTACAGCCTGAGTGCCAGCGAGCTTCATGACAAACATCAGACCAAGCATATTTCATGGAGAAAATGACAGGAGTAAACTAGAATGAATTACAAACACATTGTCTCCACAGTTGACAGATAGGTATGGAATGCACGTTTCTCATATTCAGAGTATACTTCTCTGAGGAACAAAAAAATATTTTTCATTTTAAGAGAAACTATGGGTGTGAATTTTCTAGTTGGTAATTCTTCCTATACTTAAAATGCTTTGGCATGTAAGTTATATACATTTCCCATGCTCTATTTTGAAGGAGGGCACCTCCCTTTAAACTATGGGGCAGGAAGAGACTAACATTCATTGTCTGCAAGATGCCATGTCAAGAGATTTAACATGTGGCTCACAAAGTATGAAAATCTCTGCTCCAGAATGTCAGCTACAAAATAGTGAAAGACTCTGTTGACCCACTTAGCTTCTCTTGTTCTTTCCGAAGTATATGGCCTAGTAGGTTTACACTGAATTCCAAATACCCCATCGGGGTTCCAAAACAGGGTGAAACAAGACACCTTAATAAAAATATAATATCACAATTTTATGATTTTATGTAAAATAATATAAAATATAAAATGATGTTTAACTTATAGCCTCATGATTTTCCAAAGAACTCTGAAAGTTAACTGAGAGCTACTCAAAGTTGTTAACCATGCATTATAAGCCTTTAAGAGCAAGACTAAAACTACCATCAAACCTTAAGTTACTGCAATTAGTTCAGACTTTTGAAACTTACTATGATAACAAAACTTCCACTGGGAGGACACAACAAGAAGACCACACCTTTCTTCCCTTTCTTCAACTGCTTAAATGCATAGTGAACAGCTTTCCCAGCTAGGTAGGTCATGTTTACTAAGCTTCAAGAACATAATACTGTTAAGAGTAGAAAACTGCCATTTGCATTAATAAACAAGCAAGATGGAATCACATCCTGGGCTTCTAGATGGTCATCCTTTGGGACTGGGCCACACATTTACAGAGGAGATCCCCTGTGTAAAACTGACATTTACATTTGTCCCTGTCCTTGTTCATATTTTCCTTTCCTGCTCTGTTCTACTTACATTTCCCTTTATCTGTCTTTGAGTTCATGATGGCTATATGTGGCTGCTGCCCCCAAAGTTCAAGAAGCAGGTAGTGATGTAGCTTAGCTCTAGTGCGGTCTCACTTGTTCAAAGCTGTTACCAACTTCTCTGATCTGTACACTGTTGGGGGATGGGTATGACTCAAACCAGAAGATAGTGGCCAGAAAGCAGCACAGACCTTGAATAATCCCATTTGAAAACCCCAATAGGATACCTACGATGAGTAGGAACTACCTGTCACCTGTCTTGGAAAAGGAATAGAAAACAAAGTTACTGGTGCCGTCCCAGGAGTCTTGGCACAGAGCTGTCTCTCCTGTATCCATTCCACTGGGAGGACCTGAAATTCTCCAAGTCTCTCTTATCAGACATGATCCACCTTGACACATCCTTACAAAATACACCTAGAGGACGATTTGATAAAGGTGTACCACTTTGCATGTGAGTCTTATTCATGTGACTCTAGCTATTATTTTATTTTTCTGTATAATTTGAAAAAAATTCAAACATAAAAACTCTCCTCCTTCTATATAGTTTTGTTTTATTTCTATAGCCCTACTCTAGTAGTTGAGGAGAGGTATTTACTTTGCAATTTTCAAAGAATGGGGTGGGGGGTCAGTTCTTATTCCAATAAACTAAGGCTCAACCTTAGAATCATCTTGGCAGGTTTTCCAAATACTAATGGTGGATACCACACACTGCTGGGTCAGAATCTCAGGTGAGGCAGCAGAGGACAGCAGTGTGTGTGTGTGTGGGGGGGCATATCCATACTTTATAATAGCGGCCTTGGTGATTGTGATGTACACCTCTGATGAAGAATTCTGCAGTGCAGGTTGCTTGAGGGAAGCTGGGCACAAATCTCCTTTCTTGTCTGTGCTGTACTCTCAGTGCCAAGCATGGTGCTTGTCATGAAGACCCCAAGTGTCTTTCTAAGGATTTATACCCTGAACTTCTAGAATGTGCCCGCTACCTGCTGCTATATGCTCAATAAATGTGATTTTTACTCGGGTATTAAAAAATTTTACAATTATTACTGAAATCTTGAATCCCAACCTCTGCCTAAACTTATGAAAAGTCAAGTTTTGATCTGAACAATCTGAATAGTTACCTCATTTCATTTTTCTCTTGTGGTGCTGGGTATCAAACCCAAGGCCTTCCTTATATATGTTAGGCATATGCTCTACCACTGAGGCATACCCCAAACCCCACCTATTTGTGATTGATTAGGGGAGCCTGATATTTAGATTTACTGAAACAAAAAGTTTAATCATACTAAACTGGGTTCTTTCACAAATCTACACAAAATTTACTCACCATGTACAGCTGACTGACTTTTTCTTGACATTTGACATAGGCTTCATAGTCTGCAAAGACTTTAAATCTGTTTTTTTTTTTTTTTTTTGAGGGGGCGTGGGTTAGAAGGAAAAAACAAAACAACAGAAGGCTTCATTAACAGATGCAAGCTAAGATTCTACTTAAAATTCTCTTTTGCTTAATGTCAGGCATGGCTGGTTTACCTGTTCATAAGAATGTTTGCCAGCCCTCAACATTTTTATGGTTCTTCCCATATTTAAATATATCAAAATATGTATGTTAGAAAGTTGACTATATCAGTGGAAGACGAAGAAGTATGCCAGGTTTGAGGGTCTTATTCTTAAACCTTAGTAGCACCATTGGTGAAGACTCTTCCCATCCTCCCACCCCCAAGCTTAGTTAGCTGATCAGATCATAGACCTAAGCTGATCTGTATGAATGGGCTGTAGTTAAAGAAGTTCTCTTCCCATTTCACAGCCTAAATCGCACCATCTTCTTATAGGAACTCACCTGTCATGATAAAACAGCATATTGACGATATCTTTGAAGAGGTCGGGTTGCTTAGGAGAAAAGAACCCATTATCAATTTGATCGATGGCCAGCTGAAGCTCTGGAAGTGCCTCGTAGTATTCTTTTGCCTCGTATCTGTGGGGGAGGGATGGGTGGTGATGACAAAAAGACTGTTAGTGTGTGTGGTTAACCACACAGTCGACACTGCAGTAGCTATAAAAATGCATTAATTGTGGCATATTTGAAATCCACCATTCTGATTAATGCATTCCAATAAAACTTTTAATTAAAAATGCATTCAGATATACTAGCATTTACAGAAGTCATCATAGATTTCAACATGAGTACAAATAATTTCTTTTCTGGATCCTGAAGGTTTTTTCCCTTCTAAATTTGATTCAATCCTGTAACCAAAGACACTAAGAACAGTAGATACTGAAAACTCTATAGTCACACAGCAATAGTCTTATCTGATAGAATGTGGCAAGGTTCATTTCAAAGCAGACTTTATGACTCAAAACAAGCCTTGTCTTAAGGAACCAGTTGCTTTTTGGATCCACAGATTCTTCAAATGTGTTGCTACTGAGTGAAATTTACTTCTAAGTCAGGAAATATATTCAATACCCTCCAAATTTTGTGACCCCTAGAGCTCCTTTGGACATTGATCTTCATTTCTTGCTTGAATTCAGGTTGAAAAACACAGTTAGGTAGTAAGTGACAACAAATATTCCTGAGTACTTCTGTATATTCCTATCCTCTACCATGTTTTTGTTCATCTCTTTGAGATCTTAAGGAAGTACTAGATAGTGATTTAAATTTTAGTTAAAAAATTACAACTAGATACGGTTCATTTTTGATTAATGTTAAAAATCACAATGCAACTTACAACTACACTGAGATTCCATCTCACTCTAGTTAGGATGGCATTTACCAAGAATACAAGTAACAAGAGGTGAACAGAGATCCTACATTTTGGGGGCAAATTTTTACCACACACACATCAGATATAACACTAATCTCTATGGTATATAAATAACTCAAAAAACTTAACATAAAAAAAACCCAATCCATAAATGGGCTAAAGAGCTGAAGAGACACTTCTCAGAAGAAGATACACAATCAATCAAGAAATATTTGAAAAAATGTTCAACATCTCTAGGAATTAGAGAAATGCAAATCAAAACTACTCTTAAGATTCCATCTCATGCCAGTCAGAATGGCAGCTTTCAAGAATACAAACAACA